CCCCCCCCCCCCCCCCTTTCTTGCATATTTATTTATTTCCACATACTATTGAGTGATTGAGTAACAATATTGGGTGCAGATGGTCTTCTTTGGCCAGTATCTGCTGTTGTTTGGTAATTTTGTTATCTTCTCAAGATGCATCATTTTGTTTTAATTAACTTGGGGAAGTTATTTGGTACAGCTATTCCTACTGTGATCACAATTGCTGAGACTCTCAAAAGGAATGGACTGGCTGTTGAAAAGAGTGAGTTTAATTTATGGGCTCAATTGATATTTGTTTCATTTACAGTGGTATTTTGCTAATATCTTTATCATAATGGTTTGTTTGGGGTGATTGAACAGAGATAAGCACCTGTACTGTTGTCTCAAAGCTGGTGGATGTTGAAAGTGGACGGATTGTTCTCAAGGCTCAGGTTGTTTAATCTCTTCTTAATTAATTGCTGGAATTTGTGCCTGCCTTTGATTATCAGAATTGTCATGTTATTTGCTGAATTGTAATTATTCTGCATTAATCCCCTAATTTTCCCCTCTTGTGATATCTCATAGATTGCGATTTTGCTGGTAAAGGCTAAGAAAATAGAGGAGACCGCTGTTGCTACAGCATGAAGGCATTGACTCAGAAATTGATTCCATCTTTGGATTTCAGAAATTTCTTTTTTCAGTAAAGTTTGAGTTTGAGACATATGATGATGTATATTAGATAGATAAGAGAGACAAGATTAGTCCTTTGCTTTACAATGCATGTTTTCTTACATGCTCTTTGCTTATAGTCCCCTGTTCTGGGATCAAATTTACTGTTGACAATAAATAATAAGGTGTTTACAGAGGTTTTTTCAGCCCTCTCTCTCTCTCTCTCTCTCTCTCAACTAAGTTGTGAAAGGTCCATTTTTCTTTACAATGAACGTGGTAATAGAGTCTTCAATGGAAAGTATACATACAAATCATCATTACATAAACACAACGGGGTAAATGGAACGATATACCCCAAATATGTAAACTTAGTTTATCCAGCCAACAACACTAAAATGGAAGAAACATCACTGCAATGACAACTTGGCAAGGGTCAAGGCTAATACCTTGACCCCATTAGATATATCCTGACTGGAGGCATATTCTTCAGGCTTGTGGCTGTAACCTGCAAAACCAAATGGACATCAGTATATACGAGCCTTGTATCGATCACTTGATCTATCATAAGGTTACCAGCAAGTGGAAATGATTCCTGGTTTGTAGAAAAAAATAGACAGGATATTCTACCTTTGTAACATGGAATGAATATCATACCCATCGGGGATACTCTGCAAGGATGTGAAAATAAATCATCAGAATCTATTTGTGGAAAAAGATAATTATGGCATTCTCTTCACCATCTGAATTTCTCCAAATAAAGGTATGTTAACATCCTAAGTAACCCTTTGCGGAGTATGAATAAGCATGTACTAAACAGCTGAACTTCTGATGAACATGGGATAAATAAAACATGGTTTTGTTTATTTGTTTTTCTTGTTTTCTCGGGGGTGAGACACAGGGATAAATGTAGAACTTCTAGAGACTCTCTTACCTGGCCATGAACAGTGAATCATGGTAAGCTCGGCTAATCATAAACTTGTGTGTTAAGTTTAGCTCTTTCGATGAAGCTTCCATTGCCTCAAGTATTGATTTATCAGAAAGTGCTGGTGGATCCTGATTTACAATTTTGAATTCTGATAGATTGGCCCCACGTTTACTGGCTATAGTAATTGCAGATTGATGGATTTTCTCAATTACAATGTTTCTTCGTTCTTCATCAATGTCTCTTGTGTCTGCAAAATGAAAAAAATATACATATATTATATGTAATCCAAAGATTGGTATCCAAAAAGCTCAAATTATGGCAAAGCCATGAGAGGGATATACAATGATCTTCTAAAACTTCAGTAAATTTAACAACCACGAAGTATTGTAAGGAAAAACCAACTTGGTACTATAAATTGTATGTTGTACTTGAAAAGGTAATCCCACAAAGCATACCAATTTCTAAATGTGATTTGCTCGGGATGCTGTTGATGGCTCCAGGATGTAGCTCCAGAATACCTTGTCAAAAGGAATTATTAACAACAATATCCAACACAAGAGCGCTAAAACAGTTCGACAAAATATTGAAGAAAGTCAAAGAATTAAGCCATCGTCTTACATTTAGGTGTGAAGGAAACACAACTTACCAACTGTACCAACAGTATCAATAGATCCAGATTCTAATACATATCTCTCAACAGCTAGCGCTAATTCTGCAGCTGCCAGTCCTACATCATTTCTGGTACAAATGATGTATGAAACAGTTATGCTTCATGTTTAATGGAACAAGTATAACAAGAAACTGGTAAGGGTGACCTAATTCGAGATAGCTCATATTTGACATTAGGAAATATAATACTACTGATGCGCATCTGCAGTCACAGTAATTCCTGGAAGGGACTTGAAATGAGCAAAGGGAAAAAAAACTAAGATGTCGAAATTGCACAGAACCATAAATCGAAGGAACAATTTAGAATGATTAGCAAAATTGAAAACCTCAGGCGAGGAAACTGCAGTAGAACTTGTATTCGTAATGCAATGTCAGTAATAAAAGGAAATATTATACAGATTCATAAATCACTCTGATTTTAACCAAAAAAAAAAAAAAGTTTAGCAGGATGAGTCATTTTTCAAAAACTATTGGGGAAATATCATGAGCACTGGGCGGGTGGGGGTAGGGGGTGGGGGCCAATTGCATATAATCCTGGACCTCTTCAACATGGAAAGTACACCAGTTGATATAGTCCTCTGAACAGCCTGAAAAACAATTCACCTATTTGGCATTAGGACAGCACCCGCATGGCCTCCATTGCCTTGAAAATCCACTTTTATGCTTGCTGGGGCTGCAATGGCTGTTACAATGCCAATTGATATACCTGGACCAAAAAACACACGGTTGATCGGTATAAGATATTTTCAGGAATGTATATGTCAAAAAAGGCCTACCTTCATCCTCCAAAATGGGGCCCTGCTCAATATGCAATTCCACAAAAGCAGAGTAGCTTCCTTTTTCCAGGAACACGCTGGATAAGTCCCCTTCATCTTTGGTGTAACCAGCAGATTGTGCAGCATCAAAGAAGGATATATTTTGACCATCAACTGTTGTCTTCAGAGCGTTAGCAAGTGCCTTACTCCCCGCCATTAGGCGGCTGCACAATATTTTAATTAGATATAGGGAAAAGGTAGAATGGATTTACTAAATCAATACACCTCATTGTTGGAGTCAAGCCAACACTTAAGAATTAAAACATAAAGTGGGTAAAAGGTTTTGAGCAGAAAATTAACTGAAACATCAGTATGGCTTCTTGTGAGTTAAACTGTAAGCGGTCCTAACCTTCCCAGACAGCTGATTCCAAAGCGTGTCGGCTCTTCTGAGGTGAACAAGATAACTTCCAGCGATCGTTTAGGTTTGAACCCAGACCTGCCAAACAGCCAGTTGCATAACCAGAGAGTTGGAACTACATTTCACCTTAGGAAAACCACATACAAAATTTGAAATTGTACTTTCTGATAAGGATATTTTCCATTACCAATACTTCCACAATGTTACAATCTACTCAATATTCTGATTTTATTATTATTTTATGTAGGATAGACATGTTTGTATCTTGATTTTCATTTATCATCTTATAAGTTGAATTATTGTTTGAGGAACTTAATGATGCTGTAAACCCAATGTTATTATACACTTTCGGGGTATATTTGGATGAAGGGGTAGGATACTATTCAACTACAACAAATGTTTCCAATCTCTTGCTGAATCATCTATAGATGAGTGTGTTGTGATCAACTCCCCTAGGGTCCTGACTTATCCTACTTCTGGTTTGAAAGCAGATAGCCATCTGAGTAGTTCAACCCTGCACCTATGTGGTTAACTTATACTACCAGAAGAGAGTTAATTATAAGCCTCTTAGCTAAAAAATAAATAAAATTAGATCACCCACGAATGTAAAACTCAATTGCTAATAGAAATCCTAAAGGGATACATTACAGGGAGAATATCTTGTGGGGCCAAATCAAGCATGCTAAGGCTCCAGGCTCGCCTAAATCAATTAAGATGGCAATTTTATGTTCAGACTTTGAAATTTTTTAATACCTAGGTGCATATTAACATCAGCCAGGACTCATGAAAGGTGCAAACCTTTTTAGTACGTTGATGGCTTCTATAGCACCTAGAACACCCACAACCCCATCATACTTTCCGGAGTATGGAATGGCATCAATGTGAGAGCCAGTTCCAACTGCAGAAAGATCTGGGTTATAGCCTTCCCTGCATATAGGAAAGCAAGACAAAAACATGGTCAACAAAATAAAAGTGTAATATAAAGAACAATGTAACCAAACTAAACAAGGCCCAGCTCTGGGCTACAAGGACGAAGGAGGACAAAAACGGATAAGTACCAAACTACCACACCCAAAGAAGTTGGGAATCAGGGTTTTCCAAAGTTTAATTGAAACCCCAAGTTTATAACCGTACAATGTTAAAATGACAGAATTGAATACAATAAAAGTTACAAGATTGGGGCATAGTACACTCACCACCGACCAAATATGTTACCAATAGCATCCTCTCTAACAGAGAGACCAGAGAGTCCCATCAAGTTTTTTATGAATCTGCAGTTAAACATTACCAAAAAAAAACAAAATTAGAGACATAGCAACGGTTAAATCTCATCTCAACATAAATATCAATATTTGTATGCATTACCACAGTTCTCATCCTGTCATTATCCGCTATTATGCTCAATGTTTAGATTTGTTTTTATCACGGAAAAAAAAAAAACTTCAAACAAAATTCTTACACTTACTCCAACTCTAACATATAAGATATATAACACACCATTGGGATGCAAAATGCAAGTAGCATATTGCTAGTCAATCTATACATACAACATAAATGGTACAGAATGCTGATATTCTACAATCAAGCAAAGTTCAGTAAGAAATCTGAATGGATTGGCTAAAATTTAAGCTTAGTTGTTTGATAGATACTGATATAATGACATACATACCTACGAGCCAATACATCCTTGTCAGAGTACAAGATCCTGGTAACTGATGGGGCAGGTGTATCCGAGAAAGTTGAAAGTTCATCAATCTAAAAACCAAATATTCACAAAATTAGCTCAGATATGAACAAATGAACACACCCAAGTTTCTCAAACAGCTTTATTTATGAGACACTTTATAAAACCCAATAAGCCAAAGTGACCAAGTTGGTAAAAACCAATCAAGAAATTGTAATATTCGTCATATTTGATTAAGTACCTGTTTCTGCAAACTTTGAGTGTCAACGGATAGTGAAGAGACAGTGTTCTGAAAGCTAGAGTGTGGCTCGTGAATAGGGTAGCCAGAGAAATCCTCCATTGTTTTGATTGTTGGGTCTTCCTCTTCATCAGCTAAGATTGCAGGGAAGGAGCAGAGAAAGAGCACAATAATTGCTGAGTGAGAGAATTTCAGAGACATGATTTTCTGGATGGGCTTTGGTTGATTGATTGATGAAACTAGTTATAATTTCAGATGGGGTTGTACCGCACGGCTGCCTAAGATGCCCTTGTGTGATTATTTATCCGTCAGTGCCAATCTGACACTGCTTTTGTTTTGTTGTAGTGACACTGACCATGTCATTTTATGGTCATATTGCTTCATGATAACTTATGGTTTTTAGTGTATTATAATTTTTTTACTTATAATTTTTTTTTACTGGAATATTGAACTTGAAGGATTTTTCTCTAAAATGTAAAGTTATCATGAACCTATGCGAAAGACCCTTTGCTTTATGGTTCTTTTTTATACAAATTTATCACAAATACTCTCAAAAAGTTTTACGAGATTGGTGATAGGAAAGTTCAGTTCTTTGATCCAATTTATATTTCTCTTTTATACTTTCTAATGAAGATTATTTCATCTAAACCTATTAATAAAATACTTTAAATTGTGGTTAATTAACTTAACCTATATTTGCATTTGTAAGAGAACTTTAAAAGACGTTAATGAGGTATAATTTCATGAAAAATGGCATTGACTTACAATTCCAATCTCACACATTGGTAGTGTGTGAATATGTCATTGGTAGTTTGAAAATAAAAAAGCTTGATACTTTTGGAAGAAAGAGAGGAAAAAAAGGTGCTGACTTTAATCGGTTAATCCATATGATCAAAGGAAGGCGGGAAGAGTCGAAGACCCAAAACCCAAAATCAAGGTTTCTCCTTTTACCGAGCGTGTAGAGAAAGCTTTCAGCCTGCAACAATGGAGACCCCGAGCCCAAAGCACACGTGCTTAAAGCTCCAACTCAAAGAAGCTCAACAACCCATCTACGTGAAGGGCACGTGGTTCGAGTCCCGCTTTGACCTCTCCATCACCGACGGCCTCAACGCTTGGATCTGCCACGCGTCGGAAGAACAAGTGAGAGACCGAGCGGCTCAGTGGGATCAGCCGGTCTCGGAGTACGTGGCGTTGGCCGAGCGCTACCTAGGGTTTCAGCACCCAGACTCCGCCTACGGCTTCGCTGATGCCGGCGATGGCCACAAAAGAGTAATTAAAATTAGGGATTTTATTTTGGGGGAAATTGTGTTTATAGTGTATTTGTGTGTTTGATTGTGTAATTGTTGTTTGTGCAGTTGTCATGGACTTTTGAGAAGGAAGGGACCAAGCTAGAATGGCGGTGGAAATGTCAGCCATCGCCTAATAGTAAGCAAACCACAGCAGCAGTATTGGATTTTCTCATGGATGCAAATGTTGGGCTAAGTGTAAATTTCCTCCTTTTTGTAATTTTTTTAAAATACTGAAGCAGTGTGTCTTATGAACATGAATGATATGACTTTCAAGTGCTCTATACTCTATTATATTTTGTTGGAATCCACCCAATATGAACTCCCTCTTTGAATTTTTGAAATTTGGTAATCAAAGATAAGTTGTGGTTTATGTTTTGGAAGAATTTTGTGTTTCTGAAGGAACGCAGTTGGGTCAACTTTTTCATATAAATGCCTATGATGTTGTGTCCATTGGATGTTACTTTCACCTGGTCCTGATGCATTGGGTTTATGGAGAAGCCGATGTTGCATTAGACTGATTTTTTTAGGCTTCCAAATTGTTGCTTTGGATTGTCTAATTTGGTTGCTTGTCTAATTCATGTTAGTATATGAATGTGTGTATGTATAGGAAGAAGTTGTGAGAAAAACTCAATCATTTGAGAGGTTGAAAGTGGAAGCTGAGAAGTGTCTAGCACTGAGTGAGAAGCTTACCAATGAGAAGATAGAATTTGAATCCGCTATTTATGCGAAGGTGCACCATAATATACCTCTTATGATCTACTCATCGATATTGTTTTTTTTATCTTTGTGTTCTCAAAATGTTTCTTTATTTTGTAAATGAATCTTCGAACTTCTTTTGCCATATAATACAGTTGACAATCATTGCACTCTAGACTGTGGTGTCCAGCAGATGATATACCCATGTGAGAGTTGGTTTTTCATGTGAAGAATACCTTGCAATGGTTTGCAGTCAAATTTTTGATGTCTTTGTTTTTCAGATACTCTTTAGTTTTGAACTAATCAGCATGATCTTTCCAAATGAGTATTAGGCATTTGATTGACTTGATTGTTTTTATCCAACTCGATCATTTAATTGAGAATTATCTTTGTGCAAGTAATTCTTTTTCTTGAATGTCTTGACTGAATTTTCCTTAACTTCTTCTAGTTTCTTGGGGTCTTGAATTCAAAAAAAGCTAAACTAAGAGAGCTTCGAGATAAGATTTCAAAACAAGAAATTGCTGGAAAACTGCCAGAAGAAGAGGAAGTGAGTTCAGACCAAACTGAACCTTTTGTCAGCGGTGATGAGAAAAGTGAGGACGAATCTTTGAAAGATCTTCCAGCTACCTCCAAGGATGTTCCGAGGACTAGGTCTCGAGGTCGAGGTCGAAAGAAGGCAGCGGACAATTAGTGTCTGACTTTTCAATTCTAAATCTCAGCATGTTTATGCAAATACCCGCGCCCAGGATCTTTGCTTACTTTTGTTTCTACATGTCTATTTTGTATCTTGTTGTAGATGTTATTTTTTTTGTTTTTTGTTTTTTTTTTAAGTGTTGAGGTTTTTAGAGGCGTACAAACGTTTGTAACTTCTATCATGAAAAGAAGATGGGCATCTAGAAGATGTTTCTTCTTCTCCCTAGCTGTTCCAAGTTTTATATGAGTTCAGTTTAACCCCCGGTTGCTAATTTACATCAATATTAGCAACTGGAAAAGGCAAACATAGCCACTACAATGTAAAATGTTGAATCGTATAGCATTGAATTGAAGAATACTACAATACTTTCTTTTGTTGCACGGTACGGGGATGAATACTTTCTTGTGTTGCACGATTCATCTCAAAGAAAATCGGGAAGTGATTCAGGAGCTCCATCACATGGTGATTCATTAGGTGCCAAATCCCTCTTACACATTATTTCAACAAGCTCTATTGCTTTTCGAATCTTATGTTCTGGAAGAAAACTCTGAATTACAATATTAAATGTAATGGAATCTGGTAAACAACCCTTTGAATTGAGAGGAAAGAGAGCACGGGGTTTTGGTTCTTCGAAATGCATTCTTTGCAACAGAAAAAAGTTGAAATCTTTGGCAACATGTGAAAGAGCTCTTGTTTCTCTTTAACGTATTTCATCATGCAACTGTCTAGCTCTTTTTTTTCTTCGAAAGGTATGTAACTGTCTAGCTTTAATGTATATACCATCATATATACTTTTCCATTATCTAAGTCAACCGTTACTTTTAGTTTCCTATTAATACATGTTCATTATTTGTATTGATTTCATTGCAGGTTTACTTCAGTTCTTTGATTCAATCTCCATTGCTGGTTATGTGAAATAAGAAGAAAACAATGTCTACAATGAGGGAAGGAACGAAGAAACCAAAGACAACAATAGAGCCTAGAGTTATTTCATGGGAGGAGAGAAAGAGCCTTGCAGACAAGGAGGCTGAGGTCCTGGAAAAACAAATAGAGGATCTCAAAACATGGGTACTAATATTTCTTTCATTTTCTATTGTCTTGTTTTTCTTCCATGTACATATCATAGATGTTTGGTTTTCACTTGAGCATGTTATAAATCATTTGGACTATTGATCACGTTGATTCTTACACGGTGAAACCAATGCGCGCGGTCAAAGGGGTTGAGAGATGTTACATTGGTAAAACACAATCTATGACGTTAAAAGACTCATATGCATTTTTTTTTCATCTCATTTTGACAGACCAACATGATAGATGCCATGAATGAGGAGCAGTTGAAGGAATACTTAAAGAACAGACCAGATGAGTTGAAGACAGTGAAGATCCACAAGAGCAACTCTAAGCAAAGAGTAAAATCACATATGCTTTTTCTACATTTTTTAGTGTATGTTTGCTTTGAAGTTTTAACAAGTGCTGTGTACTGATATTGCAGATCCAAAGGGAAAAGCCTAAATGCTCAACCTCTAATGGCATTATGGCTTCGGTTTGGAAGTTCCACAAGGAAGAGGAACATGAGAAGCAAAAACAATTGTTAGAATTTTAGGACATAAATGAATTGTGTAATTGTTTGTTTGAATCATAATTGTCGTTGGTTTGTTTATATACCACATAGAATTGTGAATTTCATCAAAATAATTTAATTGAAAACTACAAAACAAAGTCGGTATAGCTAAGCATGCGTATTGTGAAAGTAATCAGGCAACAAAAACTTCAATTTTAGTGTTTGAATTGAGGATAGACCCCAGTGACTAGCTAAATGCTAAATCTCTTATATTCAATGGGGTGTTAATTGGATTAGCCTAGATATTTGTTGTACTTTGTTGTACTCTAAGTGTGGTCGTGGGTTAAAAGTCTTCATGATATTTGTGAGTTTACCCACAGCCTTTCTTGGGGGAAAAAAAAACTCTTATATTCATCCTCAATGAATAAAGTATGAACTTCTATCCGTAAAAAAAATTAAAAAAAAAAGGAAAAGTTGGCGGAGTTCTAATTTTGCCAAAAAATAGCTTCCCTTCAAAATTTGGAAAATATAGGCAAAGGGCCTGTGCATGCAAGCCTAGCACGTGAGGCCCAAACAACTTCTCAGTCGAAACTTTCCTCTCTCTCGGGGTGTTTTTAATATTTTTTTTCGGGTTTCCTCTCAGTTTTGATTTCTCAAGCGTAGCGCTAGCGCAGGGCCAACGCGTCCATCATCCTTCTTAACAAATCCAAATCATCACTACTGAGAACTGGCTTTTGCTTTCTCTTGATTTTTGATTTGGGTTCTTCCGAAACAGCTCACACTCTTTTGCTGAATTTGGGTTGATAATTTCTGCTGAGAAAGATAGAGGACATCATTCTCTCCGTGCCCAACTGTTGACTCTGTGCCAACCTCTCATCACCGCCAAAAAGCAAACGTTCGAACGCCGTCAAACGAGGCTGCCACCATAGCCACAAAGCACGCCGCTGCTGGTAATTTCATTCTCTAATTTTTCAAGAATTTGTATGCTTGCTTAACTTGAAATGCTAGGTTTCAATAACAGAAATTTGGGTTTTCTCATTTTTCATTGATCTGTTTTTAGTACCCTTCCTCTGTTTTTGCCTTTTTTCTTCTGCTTGCATCAACCCCTCTTCGTTTTTCTCAACGCATGCCTCAATTGAATTCTGCTGATATTTGAATCCATTGCTTTCTTGGCCACCAACGAGAACAAGAACTTCAATTCCAACTTGGTCTGGATTATTCTATTTAAATATACGTCCTTTGTTTTTAGTTTTCTCATCAGTTTCAACTCGTGGGTAAGTTGATGCTAGTTGCCTGTTGAAGTTTTTTGCAATGCAATGGTGCAAGTAAGGAAGAGTAATAAGCATTAATGACGTGAGTCAATATGACTTGAAAGTAAAGGAAGTAACTGTTGTGTGTGTAATATATACACAGCTTTGAGTCTGTGGAAACAATCCATGGCTGATAGGAAGATTAGAAAGGCATTTTATTCACAGCTCTAGTTGCTACCATTTATCTACAGCGATCAGTTCTTCCAACAATCCAAATTACATCTTTTATCAAAGTTTAATGCTGTGCAGCAGCGACATTTCAGCTCTTATCGAAACTTTTTTCCTTCTTAAAAAGGGTTCAGTATCATTAGACCTTTCTTACTGAGTACAATGGATTGTATAATTTTCCATTTAACATCAGAACCCCACCATGTAAACCATTAATTTATAGTATGACATTATTGTGTTTCATCTTCGAAAAGTAACAGATCTTTCTATTCTTTTTGTGTTTGTCTGCAGGACACTGTTGTTTGACTGTATGTACCTTGTCCAAATTCTTGGCAATTAGAAACAACAATGCTTGCTGGAGTGAAGTTCATACCTCGAGACCAGATTGATAAAGTAGAGTCTATCCTTCTTTTGTTTTGTTTTCTTATTTGTTCTTTCTAAAGAGTAGATTAATGGTTTTTGCTATTGGTAACAGGATGAGAATTCCAGTGCTCCTGCAAAACAGAAACAGAAACAGAAGAAGAGGTCAGGTAGTCATGATGATAAGCGTAGGAAGGGAAAGAGGAGTTCTCGCTATAGTAGTTCAGATGGTGAAGATCTTGAGAGCATAAAGAAGGGGTCTAGAAAAAAGTGGTATTCGTCTGATGAGTATTCATCATCGTCATATTCTTCGGGCAATGAAAGTGTGGGAAATTCTGATCGTGATAGAAGAAAGAGTCAGAGTAAGAGAAAAGGAAAGAGAAGTTGTGAGGATATGTCCAAGGATGAGGTCAGCTATAGGTCAAAGAAGAGATCGAGTAGTGGTAAAAAAGCATATATATCAGAAGATCATTCTTCTTCTCCTTCTGATGGGGAAGACAGTGATAGTTATTCTGATAGGAAAGAAAAGCGCAAGAAAGGTAGTAGAAAATACGAAAAGAGAAAGAGTAAAAATAGGAGTCACGGAAGCCTTGAGGATGAAGAATTCTCTGGTAGGTTATCTATGCGATTTTTCTAAAAGGTTTTTTTAAATCTAATGATATGATGTTGATCACATTCATGCTCTGTTCCATCATATAGATGGTGGTAGAGGAACTATTCCTTCGAAAGATGGAGAAATTGCAAGGAAGGAAATTGGGTTAGAGTGGATGCTTCGACCTGAAGGAAAAACAGATAGAACACCTACAGTGATTGTTGAGGAGCTACCAAAGGAAACTCCGGTTGAGGAGGTACGCTTTCACCTTGTAAATCATGCATCTAACCTTTATAGTTGTAGTGTTACAAATGGGCTGCTAAGTTTCTATTATATAGCCAACATAGTCCTGTTTGTTTGGTTGGTAGTGGTCAGCAATGAGATGGCAGAGGAAAAGGTTGAGTAACCCCATTAATTGGGTGCAGATCAGCCATGACTGTTGTACTTAACAAAGTGGTCATGTGCCACTGACGTGATCACTTTTGTTAAGAAATTTAAACAGAAGTTATTATTTGGACTAACTAAACAGAAGATTGCTAGTTTAGGAGGTTAAGTGTCATATGTTATACAGTTCAAGGACTAAAATGAGACATGGGTTAAAACTCAGGGATTAGTGAAATTTACCCCACCCCCCCACCCAACAGAACAAGTTACCTTCTTCTAAAAATAACAGGTGGTTTGTGATTCTTTTAGTTGAGAAAATAAATAATTATTTTAGAAGAGAGAAACTAAATCTTTAGCTACTCATTTTGGTTGCTGTGAAAGGTTTTGTTTATGAAATTGTTTTTGTGGAGTTGTGTTCTTCTGGATTCTAGTGATGCCAGCATATAATATGTTTCCCTTCTAGCTTCTGCTCCAATGGTGGCTTAAATTGCATCACTTGGGATTTTTTTTGGGTCCAATATTATGCTTCCTTGCCTTCTTCATTTTCTTACAATTATATGGTTGTTTACTAACTGTACTTTATCTTCCCTGTGTGTTAGATAAAGAAGGTCAATCCCAGGGAATTAAATCCGTATTTCAAGGATGATGGAAGTGGTTATCCAGAAGATACAGATGAACCGAAAGCTGGTGCGGACCAACTTTTATCTTCCTCTGTTGTTGGGGATGGAGGTGCAAGTTGGAGACTTAAAGCACTGAAGCGTGCGAAAGAGCAAGCAACTCGAGAAGGACGAAGGCTCCAGGAGGTATGCTACCTTAGCTTTCTAGGTCTTAGCAAGCACCGCAAGTTCACTGCCTACCTTGTTTCGTTTTTTTGGTCTGAACCTTGTCTTTTTTAATGCATTGGAATTATACAGGTTGTTGGGGAGCGTTGGGGCTCTCTTGGTCAACTAACAGTCTCTGTGGCATCTAATAAAGCTGCCCAATCTCGTGCTCATCTGCATGCCATAAAAAGTAGAAAGAAAGGGCTGAGTGAGGATAACCAACCAAGTTCCAACAATCAAAGTGACATGGATAGTAAAAAGGTATATGGGAGCTCTCTATTTAAAAAAAATGCTTAACTGTGAAATTGAACTGAAATTTATTGGCATTGTTTTTTAGTTAAAAAATAATTTTTTCATTTTTCTGACGTGCTAGTTGGATGTGGTTACTAGGACACTAGTCGGCACTACCTGAAGGATGTATCTCTCGGACATCCTAAAATGAGGGAGCCTAAAGTTCGAGATTCGTTATCCTGGAAAAAGCAAAAGAATCGAGATGTTTCTACTAAGGACTCTGGTCTTATAGCGGAGGCAGTGTCTAGCTTAAATACGTTTTCTAACGATGGAAGCTTCATGTCTGAGGTTCTTGGTAAGCGGACTGATGATTTTAGTAGTCCTGTTTATGAAAATGTAGCAGACACTAGCAAACCTAGTGAAGTTAGTGCTGCATTTAAGGGTGAACTGAGTGTGAACCAGTTGGCAGCTAAGGCTTTTCAACTTCGTTTGAAAGGAAAGCATGAAGAAGCTGAGGAACTTCTGGTAAGAAACATGGCAATTACTCTCTCTCTCTCTTGATGGAGGGATATATCATGTGATTTGGCTTTATATCCTATAAGCTAATATTTTAGTAGTTTGTATTAACCATACTCTGTCATGAGCAACAATTAAAATTTGATTAAAGTCTTTTTACACCGCAGTTTCTTGAGCAACTTAGGATAGAAGCCTTCCAACTTCTGATGCAGTGCAGTTATATAAAGCTAATATTTTAGGAGGTTGTATTAACCATACTCTGTCATCAGCAACAATTAAAATTTGATTAAAGTCTGTTTACACTTCAGTTTCTTGAGCAACTTAGGATAGAAGCCTTCCAACTTCTGATGCAGTGGATTTGACCCTTCTGCAGTTAAGGCTATTTAGGTTCTTAGTTTTGCTTCCCTTTGTTCACTGGTTCCTTCCTCAACTTTTCAAAATCCTTACATCATTGATGTGCTTGGATTGCGCCCCTGCTGCTTTTGTATGCATCAAATTCATTTGTAAAGAAAGAGATAGCTATATTTACCTGTATTGGGATAATTTCTACTTTTCTTACGATTATTTATGTTAACGCACTTCTTTAACAAACTCATAGGATGTGGACAATAATAATTTATGGGGTCATGATCTTTTATTTTCTTCCTTTGTTTTTTCTGTTATTAACTGACATTTATTTTTTTGTTAATAGAAAGAAGTAGAAAACATAAAGGCAAAGCAGGCTGATGGAGATAATTCAATTAGACCACAAAATGAAAGGAGCACAAGCAGGTAATGTTCAATAATTTTATTCTTGATTCTTTTTGCTTATTCTAATGTTCTTGTGCTGTAAATAAGATGCAATTGTGTAAGAATTCATTAAGTTATAAAAAGGAACAGTGGAGCAAAGTAAGTATTTTTAACAGTGAACATGGGCCAACTCTTTCGGTTCTTTTTGCAGTTCCTGAAAAGGAGTCTTCATTTCTTGTTTTATTCCAGTGTGCTTTATCATTTCTGTAAACAAACTACAATTTGAAGGATCATTAAAAGGAACTGGTGCAATGTAGCATTTGTGACATAAAACATCATAAAACATCGGCCAACTCTTAGAGGTTTGCTTTGCAGTTCCTGAAAAGGATTGTTCTTGTGTGTTTTTTCCTGTGCACTTTACCATTTCAGTGATTTGTTTATTTTTCACATATACTAATGATTGTAATTATTGGTTGGAATTTTTATTCTGATCACTAATCAGGTAGCCTTTTATCTAGATATGTTAAGCAGGATGTGTCCCTTCGCCAGAAGAAAAAGGAGGATGATGCTGATATGCATCTAGCTCAAAGGATAATGCAGAACAAAAAATACAGTATATCTGGCCAGGCAGATGATGAATATGACTATGATGATGATGGTCCAAGCAGAAAGTCTAGGAAGAAACGGGGAAGTGATGATCATAAGGTCACCCAGAAGAACAGTTTTGCAAAGCCAGGCAGATGATGAATATGACTATGATGATGATGGTCCAAGCAGAAAGTCTAGGAAGAAACGGGGAAGTGATGATCATAAGGTCACCCAGAAGAACAGTTTTGCAAATCGTTTCTCCACTCAGCAAGAGCGCTGCCTCTTTTGCTTTGAGAATCCAAGCAGGCCAGCACATCTTGTTGTGGCAATTGCAAATTTCTCATATTTGATGTTGCCAAAGCAGCAGCCTGTTGCACCTGGTCATTGTTGCATTTTGCCGATGCAGGTGAGCTTAATTAGTACTGGATTATAACTTTGTACTGGCTGTTTATAAAATGTGAGTGGGTGTCATTTCTCAGAAGTAGAGACCCTAGGATATTTTAACTTTGTACTGGATTTGTCTATATTCTTTGGAAAGGATGGTGAACCTTTTTCAGATTGATGTGAAACATCTAAGTTGATTTGATTACTAGGGGATGCAATCTTAGTTCGCTCTTTCTCTAATATTTTAAATGCTTTGTTATTATGAGTTGATTCCGATCTATATAATCCTCCACAGCATGTGCCATCCACAAGAGCTGTTGATGACGATGTGTGGCAAGAAATTCGAAATTTCAAGAAATGCCTGATTATGATGTTTGCAAAGCAAGAGAAGGAAGTAGTGTTTCTTGAAACTGTTATGGGGTTGGCTCAACAACGCCGTCACTGTATAGTTGAGTGCATTCCTTTGCCCCATGAAATTGCGAAGGAGGCTCCTCTATATTTTAAAAAGGTAAGGATATGTTCTTATTTTTCTTTAAAATACATTGATTTCTGCTGCTCGTTTTGAAATGCTTTTACTTATTTTTCTGGAAAACTCGTATGATTTATTCCCTTATTTTCTTGAATATTAAGAATCAAGTGACATTATTCTCTATCAAAAAATCTGTCATAGTAAATTTAGATACATATACATGTACATATACGTGTGCATGTCCAGCTTATAGATTTTGTCATACATGATACACACACAGACTAAAATGTTATATACATTTTAGTCTATAATGTTGAATTCACATTCTGACTTTAATTTTTCTGCACCTTTGAAAAAAAATTTCTCAGGCAATTGATGAAGCTGAAGATGAGTGGAGCCAACACAATGCAAAAAAACTGATCGACACAAGCGTGAAGGGATTACGGGGCTCAATTCCGGAGCACTTTCCTTATTTCCATGTCGAGTTTGGTTTAAATAAGGGGTTTGTCCATGTGATTGATGATGAAACACAGTTCAACAGCAATCTTGGGCTGAATGTTATCAGAGGCATGCTACAATTGCCTGAGGAAGACATGTACCGGCGCCGAAGATACGAGACAGTGGAGGCACAAAAGCAAGCAGTTAAGAGCTTTGATCAAGATTGGGCGGCTTTTGACTGGACAAAACAACTTAACGAATCCTAAAACCAATTTTTTTTTTTGGCGTTATTGTAGATATAGAGAGTAAGGGATGACAAGGTTACTTGGGAGTTTTTCACCTGAACACTTGGTACTTGTAGCCATTTGGGCCGTAGGTATACTTCTGCCTTATAGTGTAATTCATGCTCATAAAATATTTTAGAGAAATTTTATTGGATCCAAATTGGCTTGGAATTGTTTTGTTTTGCATTTTTTTCCAACTAATTTGCTATATTTGGTAAATGGGTCAAATTATAAAGGTAAAATTAAAAAGTCATTTTTGGTTCACGTAGTTTACCAATGTGGTTTTTATAGTTTCACTTCCGTAAATTTTGTCTCTATTTTAAATCCCTCGCAATTCAAGGACACGTTACAAATTCTATTAAATTCCCTATAATTTTGTCCACAATACCTCTTCATGTCAGCGACGCATGCTTTGTTTTGTTGCAGAATTGAACGGAAATTTGGACTTGCTAGATATCTATAAGGGTTTGATTGTCAGAATTAAAATCACATGGACAAAATTGAAAATTAAAATTTGTCGAATTGTTTAGAAAAGATAATTAATAATGTATTATAGTTTGTCAATGGTTATTTCTTACCTCTTCGACAAACTATAAGGACTGATGTTTGTCAATTGTAAAAATAACCATCGAGCACCCGAAGGCCCAAAGGCTTATTTTTATGGTCGAAAAGGCCCAAAGGCTTTTTACACCAATATAAAGGTGTTTGACTTTGCCTAGGGTTTTCCTTTTCACTGCTGATTTCCGTGGAGAGTACGCAGGCAGAGAGAGAGAGAGACACGTGGTGCATCTTTGTGCCTATAAATATCAACATAACATCATCATTCTTCACCCGTGCCTAAGCCCTAGCCATAGATAGACAGAGCCGTACACTCATCTTCAGCTTACAGCGGCGGTACCTTCATCTTTTGCCTTCAAATGGAATAGGGTATTGAAGGCTCAAAATCAATCAATCAATCGAAGGGTTCATTCCATTTTTTTATACAATGAAATCACGGCCGAGAAAAGAACAGAAGATTCTTTCTGACTCTCTCTCTCTCTCTACTCTCTGCCGTGTTTCTTTGTATAAAGAGATGTACTGGACCCGTTCAATCTCTTTCGTTTAACAGAAGACAGTGCGTTTCTTCTATGAGCAACGAAGTAGATCTAACTCCTTTAGATTTGACAGATTGGATCTGCTCTCACTGACGTTATTAACGATGTTTTTGTTCCTTACCCAATATAGTTGTGTTCTTGCTGTTTTTGTTGATATTAGATATTTTGCAGTTACCCAAATAGATGCACATATTACGTATGTTGTTTTTGTTGCTGCAATGACTTGTGCTTCGCTAGGCGGGCGCTAGGCGGCTAGGCGGCTAGGCGGTCGCTAGGCGTTCCTTATTTCTATGTCGAGTTTGGTTTAAATAAGGGGTTTGTTCTTGTTGTTTTTGTTGCTGCAATGTCAGTGCAGAAGGAAGCAAGAAAAAAAAAGGGGTTTTATGCTTTTTGATCGATTGGTCATGAACCTAATGTTTGATTGTTAATTTTTGATGCCTCAAGTTTCACTGGATTTCTGGAATTGGTGGTAGAGCTTCGGTTTTATGAAACATATCCTTTCAATCAGTAAGAATGAAATGTTCTCAGATTTTCCAAGGTCTTTGATTGTTATAAATTAACATTTTTTCTGTAAGTTTTGAACTTCAATTGTATCAGGAAATGTTACGGGATTTGAAAACAAATCCAACACTCATTTATAGAGAGAATAATCTGTGTTCGAATTATTGGGGTGCTAAGTTGGGCTAAAATCAAGAAGAAAAAACAACCGAGTATAGCCGCCTGGCTATACTATTTTGAAAAAAAAAAAACAGGTATACTATGTGTCAGAATAAGTACAGCCGCGCGGTTATACTATTTTAAAAAAAATTAAAAAGCCGAGTATAGCCGCCCGGCTATACTATATATATATATATATTAAAAAGGACCCTCCTTGCGATTCGGTTTCCACGTGTCAGAATAAGTATAGCCGCGCGGCTATACTAACTTTAAAAAACTGAGCATAGCCGAGCAGGTATACTATGTGCATATAAAAAAAGGAAAGACTGCGTATAGCCGCGCGGCTATATACTATATATAAAAAAGGACCCTCCTTGCGAGTATAGCCAAATAGGTATAGGTATATAGGTATAGGTATAGCCAAATAGGTATAGGTATAGGTATAGCCGGGCGGCTATACTATTTTTGGGAGAAAAAAAGTCAAGTTAGTTGTATCAGGAAATGCATTATATGGTGATCAAGTGCAGCTTTTCACAATATGAGGATCCGAGGTTGTCACAAAATAACATAAATCAATATCACCTGACGTTATCCCTAAATGTTTTCCAGTATCTTTATTTTATGTCCTTCAGATTTTGTCAACAATACTTATCATCCAAGTACGTGTATCGATACAAACCAGATTTCTTGACCTTCGATACAACAGACTTTTTCCATTAGAGCTAATCACAATATATATATATATATATATATATATATATATTGTGCATTCAACAAAACTGAATGTTTCTTAAGCCTGCAACAATGTTGACTTTGAATCTGATGTTAAATTGCATTGCATATTGACTGAAAATTATATCATCCTTACGTAGGCTGAAAGTTAATTTGCTTCGTTTTCAAAACCTATGTACGTACAAACCTTACCGCCAACGTTTGTGTATATCTCCTGCAAAAAAGTCAAAACCACAATCCATTAAATGGTATACCACTATAAATACGCATATCTCATCTTCACCCCAATACACCACAAACAATATTACAATACAAGAGAGAGAGAGAGCTCAGAGAGTTGAAGTACCATTCTAAGTAAAAGAAAAGGCAATCGGTTGATCATGTCGTCTGAATGTGAAGGTAAAGATTCATGGCCTGAGCTCGTCGGAGACAAGGGGAAGGATGCCGCGGCAATGATTGAGAGCGAGAATCATTTGGTGAATGCTGTGATTGTGAAAGAAGGAACATTTGTCACTGCTGATTTTCGATGCGATAGGGTTCGAGTTTGGGTCAATAAAGGTAGCATTGTTACCAAGGTTCCTATAATTGGCTAATCCATACCTTCGAGGTCATGTGAAATAGTGAAATAATGAAATAAGGAGTTGTATTAATCTCCATGCATTGTGTTTAATAATAAATAATGTGATTGTCTTTCTATGTATGTTATATGTGAATATCTAAGAATGGTTTGATAAAAGTTGACAGTAATTTCTTTCTTCTTTATAGTTCTTGTTTTTGTTTTTGTGAGTGTATAAAAAAAAGCTACATAAGTATTTAGGGTTAATGACCTAAATGGTCCCCAAACTATTGCCCCAGTATCATTTTGGTCCACCAACTAAAATTTTCAATTCAAACGTCCTTAAACTTTTCATAATGTACCAATATGGTCCATCCGTCAAAGTCTGTTTATTATTCTGTGAAATTGAGGGACAAAATCGTATTTTTAGGTGAGTATCATCCTGTTAAAGGGTTAATGACCTAACTGATCCCCAAACTATTGCCCCAATATCATTTTGGTCCACCAACAAAAATTTTCAATTCAAACGTCCTTAAACGTTTCATAATGTACCAATTTGTTATTGTGCTTAATTTCTTTTCTTCTTTATTTATAAATAAAATAAATTGAATTTGATTGTTAGGGTTCTTGTTATAGGTGGAGAGCTGTTAAGAAATTAGATTTTTCTATTGACTCTGAGAGTATGTTGAGTGTTGAATCCATTGATGCACAAATTGAAATGGCCCCAAATTCTAACCCTAAACCCAAGCTTTCAACAACCACCCCATACATTCCACCGGAGCTTGTGTTCGACATTCTTTTACGGCTTCCGCCCAAGGATTTTATGTGATTCGTGTATGTTTGCGAAGCTTGGAATGCCATCATCCATGGCCGACATAAAGACTGAAACTTGCTGAATTGCTAACAGTGAATCTTGCAACAATTTCGTGGCAGTTGGGAGGGAGGAGGAAGAAGAAGAAAATGGGAGTTTTGGGGACCAAAATGATACTGGAGCAATAGTTGGGGGACCAAAATGATACTGGAGCAATAGTTGGGGGACCAGTTAGGTCATTAACCCTTTAACATGATGATACTCACCTAAAAATACGGTTTTGCCCCTCAATTTCACAGAATAATAAACAGACTTTGATGGATGGACCATATTGGTACATTATGAAAAGTTTAAGGATGTTTGAATTGAAAATTTTAGTTGGTGGACCAAAATGATACTGGAGCAATAGTTTGGGGACCATTTAGGTCATTAACCCTATACGCGTGCATGCCCAGCTGTGTGTGATACACACACACACAGACTAAAGTGTTATATACATTTTAGTCTATATTGTTGAATTCACATTGACTTTAATTTTTCTGCACCTTCGAAAAAAAAAATCACTGGCAATTGATGAAGCTGAAGATGAATGGATCGACACAAGCGTGAAGGGATTACGGGGCACAATTCCAGAGCACTTTCCTTATTTCCATGTCGAGTTTGGTTTAAATAAGGGGTTTGTCCATGTGATTGATGATGAAACACAGTTCAATAGCAATCTTGGGCTGAATGTTATCAGAGGCATGCTACAATTGCCTGAGGAAGACATGTACCGGCGCCGAAGATACGAGACAGTTGAGGCACAAAAGCAAGCAGTTAAGAGCTTTGATCAAGATTGGGCACCTTTTGATTGGACAAAACAACTTCACCTGAACACTCGTAAAGTATACTTCTGCCTTATCAAATATTTTAGAGAAATTTTATCGGATCCACATTTATATTTTAGCACTCTGACCAAATTGGCTTTGGAATTGTTTTGTTTTCTATTTTTTCGAACTAATTTTTTCTATATTTCGTAAATGGGTCAAATTATAAACGTAAATTTTGTCTCTATTTTAAATCCCTCGTAATAAAAGGACACATTACAAATTCTATTAAATTCCCTCTAATTTTGTCCACAATACCTCTTCATGTCAGCGACGCATACTCCATTGCAGAATTGGACGGAAATTTGGACGAGCCATTGAATTGCTAGATATCTATAGGGGTTTGATTGTCAGAATTGAAATCAAAAGGACAAAAATAAAAATCCGACAAACTATAAGGACCAAAAGTGATGTTTGCCAATTATAATCACCATTGAGCACCCGAAGGCCCAAAGGCTTTATTTTTTTGGTTCGAAAAGGCCCAAAGGTGTTTGACCATATAAAGGTGTTTGACTTTGACTAGGGTTTTTCTTTTCACTGTTGATTTCCGTGGAGAGTATGCAGGAAGAGAGAGAGAGAGAGACACGTGGTGCATCTTTGTGCCTATAAATATCAACATAACATCATCATTCTTCACCCGTGCCTAAGCCTTAGCCATAGATAGACAGAGGCGGTACCTTCATCTTTTGCCTTCAAATGGAATAGGGTATTAAAGGCTCAAAATCAATCAACCAAAGGGTTCATTCCATTTTTTTATACAATGAAATGACGGCCGAGAAAAGAACAGAAGATTCTTTTTGACTCTCTCTCTCTCTCTACTCTCTGCCGTGTTTCTTTGTATAAAGAGATTTACTGGACCCGTTCAATCTCTTTCGTTTAACAGAAGACAGTGCGTTTCTTCTATGAGCAACGAAGTAGATCTAATTCCTTTTGATTTGACAGATTGGATCTGATCTCACTGACGTTATTAACTCTGTTATGGATCTGATCTAATTCCAATATAGTTGTGTTCTTGTTGTTTTTGTTAATATTAGATATTTTGCAGTTACCCAATAGATGCACATATTACGTATGTTGTTTTTGTTGCTGCAATGACTTGTGCTTCGCTAGGCGGGCGCTAGGCGGTCGCTAGGCGGCTAGGCGGGCGCCTAGGCTGGTTGGGGCTTTTTTTCGGTGCTGAACCCGGAGGACGGTCGCTAGGCAGGCGCTAGGCGGCTAGGCGGTCGCTAGGCGGCTAGGCGGGCGTCTAGGCTGGTTGGGTCTATTTTAGGCTGGTTGTTCTTGTTGTTTTTATTGCTGCAATGGCATTGCAGAAGCAAGCAAGAGGGAGAAAAAAAGGGGTTTGATCGATTGGTCATGAACCTAATGTTTGATTGTTAATATTTGATGCCTCAAGTTTCACTGGATTTCTGGAATTGGTGGTAGAGCTTCGGTTTTATGAAACATCCTTTCAATCAGTAAGAATGAAAAGTTCTCAGATTTTCCAAGGTCTTTGATTGTTATAAATATAAGTTTTGAACTTCAATTGTATCAGGAAAACAAATCTGAGAGGCATCCGCAACGTCGAATTACTGTTAGTTCAATTAGGGTGATGCCTGGTTTTATCTTTTTTTGTATAGCCGGGTGGCTATACTATTTTTTTAAAAAACAATTAGCTGACTGGCTATGCTATATATATTGAATGTTTCTCAAGCCGGCAACAATGTTGACTTTGAATCTGCTGCTAAATTGCATTTTTCTGTGTGATGAAGAGATATACACAAATATTGGCGGTAAGGTTTGTACGTACATAAGATGTTGAAAACAAAGCAAATTAACTTTCTGCCTACGTAACACACCAAAAAAGTCAATAACAACCAACCACAATCCATTAAATGGTACCACTATAAATACACATATCTCTTCTTCACCCCAATACACCACAAACAATATTACAATACAAGAGAGAAAGAGAGAGCTCAGAGAGTTGAAGTACCATTCTAAGTAAAAGAAAAGGCAGTCGGTTGATCATGTCGTCTGAATGTGAAGGTAAGGATTCATGGCCCGAGCTCATCGGAGACAAGGGGAAGGACGCCGCGGCAACGATTGAGAGCGAGAATCATTTGGTGAATGCTGTGATTGTGAAAGAAGGAACATTTGTCACTTCTGATTTTCGATGCGATAGGGTTCGAGTTTGGGTCAATAAACGTGGCATTGTTACCAAGGTTCCTATAATTGGGTAATCCATACCTTCGAGGTCATGTGAAATAATGAAATAAGGAGTTGTATTAATCTCCATGCATTGTGTTTAGTAATAAATAATGTGATTGTCTTTCTATGTATGTTATATGTGAATATCTAAGAATGGTTTGATAAAAGTTGACAGTAATTCCCTTAAGTCTTCTCTATAGTTCTTGTTTTTGTTTTTGCGAGTGTATGAAAAAAGCTGAGTGCTGCTATTTCCACCCACCTGTCCTATTTTCCCACCCACCTTATCTTCCTACCCACCATATAAATTTTAAAAAACACAATCCTATTTTTCCACCCACCAATATTCCTAAAATACCTTTTTAATTACTTACTCATTTCCTCTCTCCTTTTATCCTCTTTGCTCATGTCTTCTCTCTCTCTCTGACGGCCCACACATCTCTTTCTCTCTCTCATTTTTGCTATATCGTATTTTCCATCTCTCACGCTCCATCTCTCTGTCTCTCATGTTTACTATACATCTCTTTTTGCCTCAATGGAAACCACACCATCTCTCAAATCAAACTTCCCCTGGAACAACAAGACCTTGTTCTTCTTCATCAAATATTCCACCATGTATTTCACACTCTTCATCACATCTTCATGCAAAATATCCCCCACCAAATCACTGCATTCCTAAAAAACCAACGACCCAGTAACCCCCAAAGCCTTCTTCACCTTCTCATGCCTCAAAGAATCTTCAGCCAAACTGGTTTTGTAAGGAACGTTCTTTGTGTAATCAACAGAGCCCAAATGGTAGAATTGTTGATTCATCCCCAGGTTTTCAGATTTTTAATTTGTTTAAGGAAAAAAATCAGAGTCCAAGAAATACTCATCTCCCAATGCTTTAAGTAATCGTAAAGATCTTAAAAATTCTGTTCAAATAGAATTTCCTTACCTTTTCGCCAAAATCATTCTCTTCAACATCCCTTGTCTCGTTGTTTTCTTCTTCATAAACAATTTGATTGAATGAATACAAAAGAGAAGAAAATTATTTGAGAATTGAGTTCTAAGCACTAAAAAGTCATAAGAGGAATCATGAGCAAGGAGTTGTAGCTATCATGTGTTTTTTTTTCTTTCTATCAAACGATAGGGTTATGTGAGAACTTGAGAAGTCTTACGTCTTTTTTTGTGTGTGTGTCTCTTTCTTTTTCCTTAAGTCCTTTTAAGTCATTTTACAACAGGGTTAAATTATATCATCCTTGGGTTTGCTTCTACATGTGTGATGAAGAGATATACACAAATATTGGCGGTAAGGTTTGTACGTACATAAGATG